TAGAGAAAGTCGCCAACCAGTCATAGCGGACTTAACGTGTGGAATTATGATTCGCAGATATATAGCCTGACTTTCTGAGAAGCGGTCACGAAGCAATACAGAATAAAGTTGATCAAGAAGACAACCAACGAGATGACGATTCTTCTCTGCTGACAATAATGTACATAGAAATCGATAAATATCACTTGAATTTCTCAATAAACAATATGTTTCCTAGCCTTTGTCTTCTGTCTCCGAACAATGCAGACCCCATGGCCAACTGAATTTGTAGAGGCATACATACGAAGCCTCTTGCAGGACTTCGAGGCAGTTGCCGATCTCATTGGTATCAAGGAACAGGCGGCTTAGACAGTGGGGTAGAGAACCCTATTGAGAAGCCTAGCCAATGCGGCATATGACGGCGTCGAAAGGTCAGGTGACACAGCGTCTTGGAAGACGTTGTTTGAACGATTAGTTGCAGAGTTTGACAGCACAACAGACAGACAGACAGCTAGCAATGCAGCAGTTCAGTTCTTTGAAGCCGGGACCTGATGGAGACCTTTTTTGTGTTGGCAGTGAAATTGACGAATCTACTTCGAAGTGCTCTTCCCGCTTTTGATGAGGAATCAGAGGCGCAGCTACTGACTTCCCAATTCATAGAGACTGTTCCAGACCACATTTCTCAGCTATCACAAGTGGCTAGCGCTGTGCAACCAATGGATATTAGTGAGCTTGAGAAGGTAACCATACAGTTGGTGTGCACAACGGTGGCCACGACACAGCCACCAAAGTCGAATGAATGCGAACAGAAAATTGAAGCGTTGCAGCATGAAGTGTCGGCATAAAGGATGAGTGATCGGAAAAACCGATGTTTTGAGTGTGGTATGTCCGGACACTCGAGGAGATACTGCATAGAAAGGCGGAGAAGAAACGTATTAAGACAGCATCATGTGTTCTTTCTCTCACATAAAACTAGAGGTAGTGGATGCTATTGAGAGAAGGCCTATGTATTCGAAGTTACAAGTGAATGATTGAGAATCACTGTTTAGTAGATACGGAGGCGGCTGTTTCGTTCATAGATAAGAACTTATGTAAGAGTGTCAGCCCATGTTCATCGACAGTGCAAACGGTAAGTGTGGATGCGTTATGCATCACGGGTAGGTTGAACTGTAGAGCCGTTATTGATAGCTGAGAGGTAACGTTCCTCTTCATTGTTGTACCCGAATTACAGCGGACAATACTTGGGGTGGATTCTTTCTCGTCATTACTAATTTCATCTGATTTCATTGTGATCACGAATTGGATGAAATTAGAATTCAAGAGCCACTGCAAAGGATTCCAGTAGCAGAACCACCAACAATATTGCCACTTAACCCAAAGGTCTTGGATTTGACCTCTGATAGGATCATTGGTATATCTACTCATGATCATGAGGAAGATTTAAACAAGGTTGGAACAGTTATCCAATACTCTCTGGTTTTTGATATAAGAATAAAACTTGTGCACTATGGTAGAGTTTAATTCCGTTATGAGTAAAATTTATTTTGATAAAGTCTCACAATGTTGTTATACAGTGATATTTGCTGATGACGACGTTCCGAGCACAATTTATGGCTGCTCATAATCTTAATCATATCAAGGCAATACTCACACAACTTTCTAACTTCGTTTATATAATTCCATTATTTTTCATCGCTCGATTTGATTGTTAGTATTATTTTCCATATTTCCGGTATCAGTGAGGAATCATTGCAACCTATTGCATGTGTTGGGTGTAGACTCGATGAAGAGGGATTCAGTAATCAACCTCTCTTGCTCTCTACCTACCTATATTACTTTACAGAATTTTAACCCTCTCCCACCATGCTATTGTGTGGTTGTGTGTTAATGCATGCAGTGTTGAGTTTTTTTTCTAAATTACATATCTTGTCGGGTGTGGTCAACCATTCTTACTTTAGCTAAATTCTCATGTTCTGACAATCTGACTAACCCCAAACTACTAGTTATTTTTCTTTGGATTACAGCTTGATTCCTCACCGTATTTTATGGCACAGATATGGAATTTTCAGCATGTGATATCGGTAGTCCAAATTTTGCAGACAGACCATAGATATCAGTTGTGCGTCGGCAGGTGATCGAATCTCATACCATGTGCATAGTCGGCGAGAGTCCTGACCACGGTGCCACCAACGCACAACGCAATCCGTTCTCTTCAACACCACAGTAGTGCTAAAATGTGTTTGAACTCTGTTAGACAATGTCTGAACACAGTTTCTTTTGTGGGTATTCGGGTTATCACCGGTATACTTCGACCTATGTAGTTGACCTAACTCACAGTCATTGCAGGATATTTTGTAAATTATATTATTTTGTCTAACTGCGTTCTCTGACCTACAGAGCTTGTCTCTGAGTGAGTTTGTACGTTTGAATGCCACTCTGAATCCTGCTTTATTCAGAATCCTTTGTAGGGCCTGAGATGTCTCCTCCTTATATGTTATAACAGCAGATATCTTGTATTCTCTCTAATTCATGTTATCATTACTAGTTTCACAATTACTTTTATTTTGGTTTTGGCCCTTTCTGATCTTCCCAATGACTTTCATAGGATGGTTATTTGATACCAACACTTCTCCGATCTCTTTCGTTTCATTATTTAGGCCTTTTCTTGTTGTGCTACTTAGTGCCACTACTCGGTTTGTTAGACACTTAACTACTAGGCCTGCCTTCAAAGACAGATAACGGGTGAGATGAATTAAAGTTTATTAAGGCAGAATGCATACTGAACAAAGAGTACTCTTTTCAATAAATTCATCATCAGGCTCTACATTTGTACACACATTATAGTGAATGAATGAATTAGTGTTATGAACGACATTAATGCTGTTTAAATAACATCGAATCAATGATATTGATAGATTACAGCTGAATCGTATCAACATAAAATAAGCTGAATGTCAGAAGAATTAGGAAGGATAATATTACAAATTCATGAGTTTATAGTTCCTACTGAAGGCTGGCCAGGGCTATAGTAGGGGCTGGACTTGCTTCTTTCGGATGCAGAGTCCTGGTTGTTTGAGGCGAATCGCAATAGCCTCTGCTGTTTGAAGCCTGCGGTGCTTCGATGTTTTTGGTAATTTATTTGGCACCCGGTATAGTATAGAGAAGGATTCATCTACGCTGGCTTTGTGGCCTGTTTGCACCAGATGTTCCAATGTCGAGCTGTTAATAGTTTTCACTACACCTTTACTTAGCCATGCTGGGAGATGTTCTCGAGCACGAAAATTCAAGATCCTAGAGCAGCGGCCAATATAACTGGCTCCACAAGCGCAGTTTACTTGATAGATACAATTCGAATTGGCTAGTCTGGGTACTTCATCTTTCAATTGGGGATTCACTACCGGACGTGTAGTAAATGAGACCTGTAATTTGCCAGGATTAAAAGTTCTTTGAACTGATTTTCTTAATTTCTTCGCAATTATCTCGCTTGGTATATCGCCCATGAATTGTAGTCGTATATAAAGAGGCTTCCTTTTTACAGATAGTGAGTAGTCCATTTCCGCTTTCTTTGTCATGTGTTTCTTGGTAAATTTTTCAGGATAGCCATTTTCGATCAAAGTATCATATACAATGCTTAATTCATCTTCAATTACTGCTTCTGCACACATAGCTCTAACTCTGTGGCTGAGGGTCCTCACTAAATTTCTTTTGTACTTGATAGGAACGAAACTGTGAAAATGTGCATATTGTCGTGTCCAAGTGCTTTTTCTATGCGAATTTATTTTTATGCTGCCATCAGGTTTCCTTGTAAGTAGGACATCCAGGAGGGCAGTTCTGTCTTGGGATTTCCCTTCGAATGTGAATTTCATAGCCGAATGTACTTCATTGAATTCACTGATTATTGTACTCTTATCAGAACCATTATCACAAAGAATAAAGGTATCATCCATATATCGGCAATAAAATGAGAGCTTACTGATAAGGTTGTTCAGAGGTCCATTTTCTAGCTTACTTAGAAAGAAATCAGCCAGAATGGGACCCATTGGGGATCCCATCACCACCCCGTCCACTTGTGTGTAAAGGATGCCGTTAAACTTGAAATTTGCATTCATGATACATCTTAATATCAGTTATTTTAGGATCTCAGTATGTATGCCAATGTTTATCGAAAGCTTGTCCACTTGTTCACCTATGTAATTAATTGTTTCTATTAAAGGTACATTTGTGAATAATGATGTCATGTCCAGAGACATCATGGTTTTGTCCTTGATGTTAATATCTTTTATTTTGTCTACGAATTCAAATATATCTTTGACGTTATATTTCAGTATCTTCTCATGCAAAGGTTTGAGAATATTTACTAACCATCTAGCTAGAACATGGTAGGGCGAATTTAGCATATCAAGTATTGGTCTTAATGGTAGCCCTGGTTTATGCACTTTAGGTAGGCCATACAATCTCGGCGTATACGTGCCCGTTGGTCTGATTTCTTCATATAAACTTTCAGAAAATATCTGCCCCTCCCTTAGTTTTTTCAAACGTCTGGTTAATTCATTCTCTATTTTGTTATTGAAATCTTTCTTCTCCTCAAGTTTCTGAAACTTCTGTGTGTCATTTAATATATCATTCACCTTTTTAATATAGTCACTTCTATCAAGGAGGACTACTCCTGATCCTTTTTATCCAGCTTTGTGATTATCAGTCTCTCATCATTGATCAGTTTATTTAGTTCTTCTCTGTGCTCCTTTGTCAAGAAAAGTTTACTATCGCATTTGAGGTTTTTGTACTGATAACAACAATCCACTAGACTGGATTTGAAGCGTTCCACTTCCAAGGTGGATGATGGAACTAGATCCCTTGTTTGACTAAATAGGTATTCAAATTCAATATCACTAGAATGCGTTGACTTTTTATAAACGCCGATAGTGTTTTACTTTTGTTTACTAGCTTTCTAACTGATCATCACCTGCTGTGTTTCTCCTTTTTCTTTTGTCTTTGTTTAAATTTTACTGAATCTACTGAAGTTAACTGCATCAAATGGTTTTTGGTTTGAAGTTGATAAATCAACTTTGACATTTCAAGAACCATCATCAAAAGAAGATTTAAAGTATATTAATGAAGAAGGCTTAAATGAATGGCAAGACTATTTATCTAAATTAAAATGTTCTGCATTACAAATATGGTATAAATGTATGTTAACATGTGAAGCATATGTGACACGTAATTTTGCTTTAATTTTTGTATTTATTGGTTGTATATTCTATCAATTCAGTATGTATATACTTTATATAAATCGTATCCGAATGATACGTACAACTTTAATTGGTATCACTTTCATTATAACTGGTTTCATCTTATTATATTTAAGTTTATGGGAATTTCAAGAGTGTATTGAAGAGAAACAACCGTCTACATTAAGTGAAATGAGAAGTCAACGTGTGGAAGAATTATTCTGTTGTTCTATTGGTATTAATTATCAAAATTTTCTAATTTTATCCATTGTACAGACATTTTGTGTTATCCCAATGTATTTAATCGGTATAGATATCATTGTATTTGATTCAGCGAAATTTTAGGCAATTAAAAATAATCGTTATAACAAAAAAAATAAAAGTATAAAGTTAAAACAAAAGACTTCTGTTTCGTGGTGGTGGTGTATGTTCCAACGAATTATTATTATTATTCTCATATATTCACACAGTTCAATACTGCATTAGTAACAGAATAATATATGTATATCTGGACATTCTATTGTAACGACAAAAGGGTTAGGGTTAGGCAACAGATCGTTTATTGAGAAAATCAACGGATATTTATGTATTTTTATGGACACTATTATTCGTTATTATTGGCAGAGAAGCAACGTATTCTGATTGGTGGTTTGTTTTTGCTGAAGGTTATTCTGTCATCTCTTTGTAGCCGTTTCTCAGAAAGTCACGCCATATATCTGCGAATTGTACTTGAACACATTAAGTCTGCTGTGGTTGGTGATTTCCTCTAGACTAAGTTTTGGGATCGTTTTTCTCATGATACTGATTCGGGACGTAACATTGACGTAAATTGTTGTCTACAATTTTGGCAAACAGATAGCTCTCACTAGACTATTTCACGTTGTCAAATGTTAACCGAAATCACACACTCAGTGATCGGTCAAACAATATGATACTGTATATACATGGGTATTGTTTTGATTAATGTAAAATATACCTCGGCTTCCGTGTCTTGCCTTCTATTGTTACACTTGGTGTCGCTGCCTACCGAAAAATGCAAAGCCTATGCCCTGTGGTTTCTGAAGGAGACATATGCGTCTTCTGGCAGGACTTTGAGGCTAGTGCACAGTTGAATGACCCTCAAGTCCCGTCAGTGATGAGGCTGTTATGCAATTAGTAGTGTTCTCTAAGCCGGTTGGGTTAGTTGTGGAGCTTTCTTCGTCCCAATTCTGGACAACATCTTCACCACAATTTTCTGCATAAAGTGATCTGATGTAAATTTTCCGTGAGTGATGGAATTGCGTCTCCCGGTAACCATCTTTACATATATATTCACCATTTTCTGTTGACTTGCATTCTAAACTTTCTCGTCACATGATTTATTTACTTTTTATTAGTTAGTAGATTTGGTCTAAATTATCACCTTTGTTAATCAAGTATTCGTCTGAGTACCAGGCTTCTAGGAATTCTCCAACTGCACTTTCGGTGCTCCCTCTATTTACAATTTTGACATTATCCGAATCAAACTGGTATCCATAATTATCTACATGCATTGATATGAAGGAGTATATATCATGTCTTTTCACAGCTGATTCGTGTTCCTGGATTCTGATTCGAAGGGGACACCTACTGTGGCAGATGCAATGTCTGTTACAGTTCGTACAATTTATTTTGTAAATGGTATTAATTTTATCTTCTTTTTCTGTCCGATCTTTCGGTTTGCACAATAGTGAATGAAACGATTGGACTGGCTTGTGCGTCATGTCTATTTCAAACAGTTTCAATATTCTAGCTATTATTTGAGAAATATTTTTTATATGTGGTGAGATGAATTTTCTTGTAGTCTTTGATAATGGTTCCTTGTTGGTGTTGTGATTCGATTTTAAACACTTTTTGATGAAATTGTGCGGATGTCCATTCTTTTTGGAGACAGTTAGTAGGTATTTTTCTCCCATTCTTTTCAACGCTGGAGTGCTACAGTGTGTTTGAACTCTGTTAAACAATGTCTGCACACAGTTTCTTTTGGGAGTAATTGGGTTATTACTAGTGTAGTTGAGTATTTGGTTTGTGTGCTTTGATTTTCTACACACTTGTGTTTCTAAATTTCCTGTGTTAGTTCTGCTGATTGAGACATCAACCACAGGTAGTCGGAACGGATGACGATGACAAAGCTGGACAGACTCGCAAATTCAAGATTCAACCTCGTCAACCTGAAACCACTTTGAAAATCTTCTGCACTCCACCTCAGCATAAGGAACAAGATTCGGTTTCTATTCAACACAAATGTGAATTTGGTCAGTTCTTCTATACAGGTCAGAAGCTTGACACGAGTGTCACGAAAAGGATTTCCATCAGGTTGCAGACTTTCAACAACAATTGCCACCTTTGCTGGCTGGCTACATACTGAGGATCAAATAGCAGGCCAGCCAGAAAGAATCAGTAGCAAGAAACTCTGTCTGGCGACGAACCAACCAAGAGTCGATTACTCAACATATATGTAGGAGAGAATGGAAATGAACCGGAGATATCTTAAGGAGTCCTCCGAATGACATCACTCGAGTGGAATCCCAATTGGAAGCGACGAGTGGGTTGTCAGCACAAGGGTGACATGGAGAAGATGAGAGTGTGTGGGCGAACGTGGAGACACCTGAAGAGGACAGCATTGAATAGAAGAGAGTGGAGATGTTTTGTTGAGGCCCTGTATTCCAGTAAGAACACAAGGGAATAATAATAATAAAGTCAGGGTTTGAAACGATGCTACATATAGAGGAGAGGATAATTAAGATTATTATGCATTAACACTGATACCAAAAGTATTCGAAACGGATCGATAATATTTGTAGTAATTATCACATTAATACTAAGAAGTCATATAACTGGTTTTCAGTTGTTGCTGTTGTAATCAATCTCTAGTTGACTCTATCAACAATTCTGTTACTTTTAAAGTCAGGAAGAAAGAAATGTGGCGGTCTATTTTAAAGGTCACATCAAAATTCAATGTTTTGTTTCTTTGTAAATTTTTGTTCACATATATATTAGCAGTGATACTTATCGACAATAGCTGAATTGTTCTGCAATGTTTTCATTTGGAACAAAACATCCTTGTTTGTCTGGAATGTGTGATATTGACCCACTTCATCAGATAAGTGTAGAATGTGGGCGCTGTTGTAGAATATACTTCCATATTTTAGATAAGCTTATTTGAAATAGCACACAGTGACTGATACAGCATTAATAATTGGATCACGTTTCGTGGACAATTCTTTTTGCTTATGATCTTATCACTGCGTTCACGCGACTTCATCACTTGGTGTGTGTAGGTAGCCTCTTTTCTTCTGTGGTGAGAGCTGGCTGAGAACAAGCCAAAATTGTAAACAACAATATACGTCAATGTGGCGACCCGAATCAAAGCCATGAGTAAAAACGATAACAGAGCTTAACTTAGAGAAAATCATCAACCAATCACAGCGGACTTAATGTGTGCAAACGTGATTCGCAGATATGTAGCCTGATTTTCTGAGAAACGGCCACAAAGAGACGACAAAATAACCTTCGTCAAGAGAACAACTTATCAGACGACCCTCCTTCTTCGCTGAAAATAATGTACATAAAAATCGATAAATATCACTTGATTTTCTGTATAAACAATTTGTTTTCTAGCCTTTGTCTTCTGTCGTTACACTTCCTGTTTGCTTTTTACTGCAATCCTTCCTAAATCCGGTATGGGTGTCTCATCGTCCTGGTAGCTCGTGTTTGGTGTTGAGTCAATGAAGTAGGATTCGCCGACTAACTAACTAACTAACTATATTACTTTTCAATGCTTTTGCTTTATCCTACACTGTGTGATTAGATGCAAGTGAATCCATTGCAATAGTCTCATTTGTTTTCCAGACTGTTTAACTCATCAGGGTTAGTCATTTTAAGTCTAGCCAAATCCCTTTATTCCGATAACTGACCTCATAATCATTCCATTTGACTGATTGGAGGATTTCCTCATGAGCTGAAATCAGTTAAAGAACCATTGGGAAACCTGCAAGGTGTACTGGACAGCCAGCTGTCTCCTCCGTTCTACTTTGGGACTCTTCAGAAGTACGCACCCACCTACCTGTGGGATTCGAACCCAGCACCTTCTGATTACAAGGCGAGCTGGCTCGTAAACCATTGAGCCACTGGCACCTGACCCGATCCAATAGCCAATCTATGAATTCTAACTTCTACCAATTCATGACATAACGCGACCACTTCGCAGTGTATTCTTCGATGAATTACTCTATTTTGGTTATTGTGTTTCCTCCATTGGCAAAGTCTGTCTGTGAGCGAGTTGGTTGATTTGAATACTACCCCAATTTTATTATTTACATTACTATTCTTATTCCCACTATGGGTCTTCATACATTCTTCGGATAAAATCTGGTGAGTAGTTCTCTTATTATCAACACTTCCCCTATTTGTTTGATTGCATTAAATGAGGAAATATGTACGAGATATATATACTGAATTATTTCCTCATAATTAACATAGAAGTTATTTTAGACTGTAAGTGACTCAAGAGAATTGATCAGATCATTTTTACAAAGATAAATTTCATTAAGAGTTGGCATCAATTAAAGGATCATTGAAAATCAGAGAGTACTGTACACGTGTTTCAGCCTAATATGGGATTCTTCAGCATTGAGCAGTCATAACTGAACCAGTGATCGATTTCAACACTGTCGGGTAATGAGGCGAATAAGTTACTAGCCAGTCACTAGGGTGGCATCCAACATCTTATGACTTCTAACATTATTACTGATGCTCATTTGTCATAAAACCGATCGAATCTCTACAATCTACCGATTGATGATCACTTTCCAGTCATTCTTCTTCTTCCGAGTTTATTGACTGTGTGATGAAATGTTTAGATCAAAGATTTAAGTATTTTTTTCTCAAGTAATATACTTCACTTTTCAAATCCACTTCAATAATTTCAGGTAGTTTCGATTGGACACTAGTCAGTAACTGGTGTAATGTGTCTAGTCCTCCTGTCTTTGGTGCAGACTGAATTCTATCAGTCAAGCTTGAAATGTGGCCAGCATACCACTAGGCGGCTCACCATTACGGTGCATTGTGAATAGCTGGTATTAGATGGTTAGAGGCAATCGACAACAGGAAGCCTTGGACCTAGGTTTGGGGCTAGTTGGCACTCACCAGTCAGCAAGGCGTATCTGCAACCTCGAAGTAAATCATGTCCCACTTCCGGTATAAGAAATTATACGCGATTCCATTAACTGTGGTCAATGATATCATATATTTTATAAAAATTATTTCAGTGATTTCTTGAATTCAGTGACTGAATGGTCTACGAACTCGCCCTATAGCCTGAAAGTCCTGGATTCGGACCTTGGTGGGCACGTATTGCTGAAGTTGGGTACTCCTCAACTAGGACGAAATAACTCTCTTCAGTATACCTTGACTTTCCAATAATTCTCCAACTTCCAATAATCAGTTAAGTAGAATTATTCAATCATAGAATTATATCACACACATTTACCTTGAATGTATAATTAATATCTTGATATTCAGAT